ACGATGTGCCTGAAGCTGGATCTGGTTTAACCTCTCCCACGAAGTCTCACTCATTTTCCGATAGAGGTAGAGGCATAAAATCCGAGCAGGTAAATAGGTGATGGCGGAGAACACAGGATTGGCCGAGGGTGGTCTACAAAGATCTAACCGCATAGGGTCACAGGCCTTCTTCGTTCAGTTGCGAGCGCGCGTCTGGCCCATTACGACCCGGTGTTCAAGTCACGGCTGGGGATTCAAGTGGGGGAATCCCACCCATCCTCGACACTAACATCTGTCGCGTAAAAACCTTATACTCGTGCACTCCTCCCTGGCTGGCCGTCTCGCTGCTCACGAAGCAGACTAACATCATTGTGGTACCGAACGGTGGTGGCAAACCATGGTTGATTGGCGAAGCGAAGAGGTGGAAAAGTTCTGTGACTTCATGTTCAAACAAATGACTGTCTTTGTTTTCGGTGTATACACGTGCGTTTATATCCTTCCGCAAATCTCTCGAGCATTTCCTCATGAATTTGGTATTAAAGATGGTACATGACGCTCACTGCGCGTGATGTCGAATGGCACCTCGTCACTCAACAGCTCAAATTTTACTATGATCTTGTAAGTCGCAAAGCCCAGGTTATGCTATAGAATTTACTTATGGCGGAAAAGGTTCCTTACCTACTTGGCCGTTACATGCATCTGTGCACTCTGTCAATGCTGTATGTCATTGGCGTATCTGATCTAAACTCTCACTCTGACTGATATCACATTCCAGCGTAGTCGTCAATCAATTGGGTTCCATAGAGGCTGGTGGCTGTCACAGCAACAGTACGTCAAAGCTTTTTTCATGTCGTGTTACCAGACACTGACTAGCTCTCAAGGCATTATGAGATCTATGGCGGTGCGATTAATTTTTCTTCGTTCGCCTTGTATCTTACTGGCCGGTAAACTAGATCATAGGAAACCTGCCTATGGTGTGTTCTAGCACTAACCTACAATTGCGCGCGTAAGTAATGTAACTGCATCATCGATGTTTTAACAGACCATTCTCCCAAACAGACTTCGCATATGGAGGCATCATAGATGCGTTGTCGCATTCCTTTCCGTGCTTGGTGTCGTTCACTGGGTATTCTGTTTTCAGCGTGAGTGGAATATCACGTTAGTAATGTTCCACTCACTCGTTTGTTTCAGTGGGACTTCTGGGTGTTCGAACAGTGTGGGAACCAACACGCGAGTGCTACGTTTTGGATGAGCCGATCGCGCGTAGAGGGCTGCTGGCTTTCTATCTGTATAGTAAGTCCCCAATCCTTGAAATTCTGCACTATCTGACGCTCTATCGCAATAGCTATCATATGGGACATTGTAATATTGGCTCTGACTGTAGTTGCGTTGCGCAAACAGCACGATGCTCGCTCTTCGCCTTTATGGCATGCTCTACTGACGCAAGGGGTAGGATATGTTGCTGTTACGTGCATGACAAATATTCCAATGACAGTACGTTCGCCGAAATTCTTTATACTGTCACGTTCACCCAAACATTCATACTAGGTGATGGTTTGGCTTAATCTTAACTGTAGACTTTTCTCTCTTATCTATTTTCAAGGTTATACTCACCGCTGTTCAGATACGATGTCCATCTTCTTCACCATACCTGGTAAGGCCGTGAACCTTTTTGGAAAACGAGTTGGTCTCACACGAACGATTGATTGGGTCTGGCAGGTAATACTGCAAGGTGCGCGCGACTTCGCACTGAACTAGCTTTACTCGCTTACAAGTCGCAGTGTGATCGCCTCTTCGGCAGCCGCGACATCTCTTTTGAAGATTAAAGAAGCCGAAAATAGGCGCGTCACTTTGTGCTGGCATAACATCGCAAAGTCCGCGGATACTAACCTTGTGCGGATAATTTTACAGGTCGCCACGGTCTCGCATCGACACCAAAAGGCAAACGTCCAATGCTTTAACCACAGCCATTTCTTTGACTTCGTGAGACTTAGTATAATTCTCTCGATGATTTTGCCTGACCTTCGACTGCCTGTAGATCTGCCTTTTGGGCTTCCACTGCGAGCCTGGGGGCAGATTTGGCTCTGGCTAACAATTCCGTTTGTCAGGCCATTGAATAGAATTCCCAAGCTCGCTTTCGACCCATGCATACTGGAGTTCCTATAACTAGAACTTGGATATTTCTGTTTCCATTTCATAGCTTCACGTCATGTTACGGAGCTTCATGTAACTAGAAGGACCGGAGAGGTTCATTTTTAGGTCGATTGCAGCTTTTTCTCAGGGCTGATTTTCAGTGATATTGACAGTTGCCATTCCTCACTCGGGAATCATGTCGACCGACTCATCGCAGCCGCGATACAGGCGCTTCCCATTCCATTTCCTGGGAAATTCCAGCCATGTTCAATTCCCGCTTTACGACATCATACAGAATGTGATGCAGACCTTACCATACTTGTACGTGCGTTAGCCGCTTCTGCACCGCTTAATTGACAGTTGGCGGAATCTGACAATGGCAACAGGATCTAGCACAGGCAGGATGATATATACTGGCGGGACTCGTGGCAATCACAGAACTAGCCAGCGGGATCCCGCTGCCAACCTCTCGTTTCTTTTGTCAACATCGTATCGTGGACATGGTCGACTGGAAAAGTCCGGAAGTGCAGGGATTCTGCGCTTTCTTGTTCAGCCAGATGACAGTATTCACCTTGGGAGCTTACTTGTACGTGGATTGTCTTTCAGAGATTGCACGACGATACTGATCCGGGTGTAGATGGTACTTCTTGCTCACCTGGCGTGAGGTGGAATTGAAATTGGTTGCCAGACGCGTGAAGTTCAAATATGCTCAGGTAAGAGATGTTTGCGAACCGTTATGACAGTGATTTCCAATACCAGGATGGTGTCAGATACCCTACCTGCTTGCGCGCTATAGCCACATGATTACTCTCATCTTGCTGTGAGGCTTCCACCCTCCCGCAATAGTCTATACTGACTGTAGCCGTTGAAGTACCATCGCGAGCAACACAAAACGGCCTCTAGTGACTTGCGAGGGCGCAAGTAAGCATTCCTAACTCCACGCGCTCTCATATGCTTCACTTCTGAGAATGTGCATATTAGGCCTTGTAAGACTACTATCAGTGGGTTACCTTTTCAGAATCTGAGGTGACATGACCACTGAGAGTCTATCCACACAGGTCGTAGGCAATATGGCCTTATCTGCTTCAAGCGCCAATCTCGGGCTTCGTGCGTAAGTATATGCTATGTGTTTCTCGCTTTTTTAAAGGCTGAAGAGTTACCCACAAGCCTGATGATATGGAAAGACAACAAATATGTTACTGCAGCTCTAGTCTTCTTCTCTTCTGCCCAACTTATCTTTGCTGTTGTATGTGAGTATTGCGTTGTATCCTATGCTTACGTTGAGTGGCTCAAGTGAAATTGATCATCTATAGTGGGAGCAGCTGGTGTTAAAACACAATGGGATGCCCACTATAATGTATGCATCATTGTGTCTCAGAATCCTCAAAAAGGACTCTTCTCGTTCTATATGTATAGTATGTCCATCAGTCTGTGCAGATTCCCTCCTGCGGTAAATTATAACTGCTTTTTGAATAGCCATACTCTGGGATACGTGTATCCTCATTTACACGGTGATCGGCTTGCGGCAAAAGGGGGTGGGTGGACGATCTCCTTTATGGACAATATTGTTCAGTCAGGGGGTAGCATATGTGATTGTCACATGCTTCACGTGCGTTCCAATGGCGGTATGTTCCATTCAGATTTTCGTATGATATACGAGTGTTTATAATTCATCTCAGGTTTGCGTATACCTGAATCTCAATTGTGAAACAATTCAACAGCGGTTTCTAGTACGGTGACTGATTATGTCCTTCCCTCAGATACGATGAACATCTTCTTTGTTGTACCTGGTTAGTCTCTTTCGGTTCAGCACCCGAGGGCCGAAAGACTCTAATATTATGATGTAGGATGTACGGCTAGGTGGGTGCAGGGCATTTGTTCCCAAAGCTCTCCTGGGATTAACTGCACCTCAGTGTTATGGCATCGTCAGCGGCTGTGATCTCTCTTTTAAATATGGACTCGCCAGTCAATATTCGGTACATTTCTACCGTGACCATTGATGAATCCCGCTGACACTGTCGTAGCAGTCATGTGTCCAATGCGGACTCAGAACATGTACGCGCGAATATTGAAACAGACGATCCTAGCAAGTTAGCACTCACCTCGCAGATTGACTGTCGGTAGGTGGTTTATAATCACACCCGCATATTCTCGAGCTGATTTTATTTAAATCCATAAGGACTGCAGGTAGTAGTATGGTCTCCACTCACTTGGAGGAATAGGCTTCAAGAATCAAAAAGTTGTAAGCTTTTTGCGCCCACTTTCGCGACGTACAACGTTCAGCTGGTCATGTTCCTGCTACCCTATAATATCGTTGTTCCTTTCTTTGACCATACGCTCTTTTCTCATTATCATGAAATTGTAGTAATTACAGAGATGCTTCCACATGACTCGGATGGGTTTTTTATTATTACTATACTCTCGACATCTGGGATCATGAATTAGTTCTCTTTGTTCGCCGTTCCCTCTTTTATATTATTCATGCGGGCCGCATCTTCAAACTAATATTGAAGAAATTTACTATTGGTACGGCCGCATCCCCTTCTACTTAGGCTCGTAGTTCGGATCGCTGAAAGATTGTACATATTCAAAATCCGCGGGAAAGAAGGTTGAAACCCTCGGCGTGGACAGATCTACACACCAATAGCGGTTGGACTGTAGTCATTCCTAACTGTATGACGAAAAGGGGCACCGCTGCTGCTCTGCTGCAGAGATGTGTACAAGGTGGATGCATCAAGGCGGCATCTATGATTTTATAACCTTTGGAAATATTCGATAACTATACTATTAAGTAAGAATAAGTTTTTAATTGACCAATGATGAAAATTCATAATAAATCCAAATAAATAAAATTTGAATATCTTTTCAAAGCCGGACAAAATCACAATAGCCCACCGCGAGGGTCGAACTCGCAGCCTTCAGATTCCCGCGCAGTCAGTGCAAACATGGATTGATCGTAAAAGTCTGACGCTCTATCCGATTGAGCTAGGCGGGCGTTAGCAGAAAAACAACTGTATATTATTGCATCACGATATCTCGCAAGCATTTTTTTTTTTTGGAAAACGAAAATAAAGCGAAAACGAAAATAAAGCGAATTTCTCACGGTCCTTTGAGTTGGTGGAGCTATTTCGATGATAGTATTGGCTGGCTCCAGAGTCTGTAACGTTCCACCTCGCGTTTGATCTTCTCACTTAGGCTATTCTCATTTTCTGTACGTTTGAAACCATTCAAAAGTAATAAATCATTCCGCATTACAGCCTGAATCGCTATTCATGTTTATGTTCTACAGGGGTCGTAACGACTCGTCTAATACGTAAAGTATATAATGAAGTCCATGTCATCGCTGTCGTGTATGTTGAAGTAATAGCGTTATGCAACCCGTAGATCACATAGATCGTGCAATGACAGTGACCCCTGCCCGTAATAAGACTCTCGCCTTAGCAGCCTGATGGATCCTCTGAATCGGACGATGATCCTTGAGGATAATCCACGTCAAGTCCTTCCGCCGCAAGCGAAACCATGTAAATCTTAGTTTCCGCCAAGATGATCAAACGACCATTTCCGATGAACAACATCTCTGACGAAGACGACCCAAGGAAAAACTTTCCGATCAGGGTTCCCTGGCTATTCCAGACCTGTTGCTCACCGTCAGCGCAGAACATTATCGGCAATAAACATCACCTACCTCGACACCATCGCCAGTTCCAGCATATAGGTTGCCTGCCGTATCAAGCTGAAGACCGTGTGGAACTCCTCCATCAATGTAGGAAAACACGCGCTTGTTACCGAAGGATTCGGTTTGGGGATCCACGTCGAACGCATAGCTGCAGAAAGATGGAATCAGTATCATCATGCTTGAAGCCCAGTGAACATGCACATACATCGTCGCTGGTCCAGTCTGATTGTTGCCAATGAATCCGCCAGCCATACCACTGTCTGAGCTATCAAAATGACACTGATTAGCAGTGCCCAAACTTGTGAGGAGACATGATAGACTTACACAAACACCGTGGAGCCATCCTGCGAGAAGGCAAGCCCATTCGGGAGAACGAAACCATCCGCAACTGCTCGTACAGAGCCGCTGTTCGGATCGAAGCGGTAGAGTTGGTTCGGCAATAGGGGCAGCGGGCGGAAATGATTCAACCAACCGTATCTACATAGTATGAACATCAATGAGGTGAAGCGTGTTTCCAGAGTCATAAAGAAGGCTTACGCAACATCTGTGAAGAAGATATTTCCACTCGTAGGGTGGATCTTCGCGTTGTGCAGTGAGTTGAACTGACGTCCGAAGAAGTTGTCCAAGATCACAGTCGCATTTTGTGGATTTGCAGGATCAACTAGTACCAAATTAGGAGGTAAGGGTCCTCTGCCTGAGTTGACGAGGAGCAAAGATCCGTTATAAGGACCAGTTCCTGCATTGGTCATCTGAACCGTGTCCGGTAGATCGAGCTATTAGGGTATATACAAGTCAGCTT